ACCATATTGGGTGGCATTTAAGCTAGCTCTTGCAGTGGAATCTTGATTGGGCCTTCATGACAACAGGTAGGTAGGAGTAGATGTGATAGGCAACAATAAACTAAGAACTCAAAATTGCTCACTGCATTTAAGTATTGCATTAATATTTAAGCTTACCTTTTAAAAGTTCAATGGTAATTCTTCTGCCGCCACTTAATTTAAAGAAGATCTGATGTACGTAGATCCTTACTTTCTATACAGACAATTATTTTTATTTCATGGGTAACTTTCACTGGATTTTGTAATTAATTCTGCTGAGATCTTCCAGTATATCCCTATTGTTGTAGATTTCATTTATTATTTCTGTGATCTTGTCTATGCCAAAGTTATCTAAGACTGTCAGTATTTCCATTACAATTCCGTCTGGCTCTGCCACCTTGTTTCTGTTCAATTTGGCCAGTGCAGCTTCTTCTTTGGTTTTTAGAATTTCAGTTCTGTTGGTAGTTCTATTTCTTGCTGGTTGTTCTCTTTCATCATGGAAAAGTTCTCCAATATACTCGCTCTAGCATTGAAGAATTTTTTTCCTTCTCTAATATGAGTGTTCCATCTTTTGATTTTAAGCAGCCTGTTGATGAGCATGTCTTCTGTCCTGTTAGTTGCCTTATTTGTTTATGCATATCTTATTTGTTGGTGGTACTTAATCTCTCTATTTCAGTACATTTTTTGTTTAGCCACTATTCTTTAGCCTGCATTTGGTCCTTATTTCATTGTGTAGATTTCTGCATTCTGTTCCATATCTTAGCAGAGTTTTCTGCCTACTTTGCATCATGTCGAGAATCTCATCAGTCATCCATTCATTTTTTTTCTTCTTCATCCATTCTCCTTTGGAATGATATTGTTTTCTGATGTCACTAAAGCATCTCTTAGTGTGTCCCATTTCAAGTTTGCATTGTGACCTTCGTATCTTCTTTTCACATTCTCTATATATTTTTCTTTCAGGTACAGGTCACTCAGGAGTTTGTTGTATTGCAATTTGGGTGCTGCATTAGGCTTCTTCAGTTTCCACAGTTTCACTCTTAGTTTACATATAACAGGGCAATGATCACTTCTGCAGTCAGCACTTAGGTAGGTTTTGCAGTGAACAATTGCATTTCTGAATCTTTTTTTGATAGTTATGTAGTCAGTTTGGTTTTTAGTTTCTCTTTCTGGACTCCTCCATATCCATAATTGTCTAAGATGTTCTTGGAACCATGTGTTGGCTATTACCTGGTGATTGGCCATGAAACATTGGATCCATTTTCCTCCACATTCATTGTGGGTTACTAGTCAAAATTTTTTAACTATATCCCCTGCTCTCTCCCTGCCTACTTTGCCATTTAGGTCTCCCATTGTAATGATGACTTCTTGTGATTTGCAAAGAGCCTTGGCATTGTCTTCATCCTTCCTTTGCACCATTGGTGTAAATACTATAATGAGAGCTATGTTGAAAGGCTTTCCTTTCAGTTTGACTACCAGAATTCTTTCAGATATTTGGTAGTATACCAGGACACATTTCTTAAATGTTTATCTAGTATTAATCCTACTCCTTTGTCATTTTTCTCTCTGCCTGCATAAGTGTTTATTTATATATACTTGAAACCTTAATTTCCGTGCTTCATTTCTGTTATGTGGTTAATAATTAATAAATGTTTTTCATACTGATCACTTCAGTATCCTTTTGTTTGCCTTTGTTTTATTAGCCAACTTATCTATTAAATTTTATATATATATATATATATATATAAAAAAACTTATCTTAATCATAAGCTTTTATTCTATTCAAAGTTAACAAACAACATTATAAAATAGCGGCAAATAACTGCTTTTAGACACACAAATATTCCTGCTCAATAACCTCTGGAATAATTTGAAAAATAACCATTACTGCTCCCCCCACCAATAACCATCAAGATAATACAATGGAACTTACTACCCATAATGCACCATTGACCAGCATATATAAATCGTCAAGCCAAAACACAACACACATGGCCTGAAGTTTACATTTAAGTACAAAAGAGACTGTTACCACTTGGTGGTGACCTCAGTCTCCACTTATATAAAAGTGTTATTATTATATTTTTATTTTAAGAGATTATAACAAAAACATGTTGAAATTGCTACACAAAAGCTTTCATGCTTCAATACTATGATTGTACTTCTTCAGGCGATGGTAAGTAACTGGTGATAAAATGATTTTTAAAGAAATTTAAAAACAAATTGTTACCTCTTTTCCAAAAGTTAAAATGTCTGGCGGGGACATAAGGTCAGAATCAAATCTAGGCTTGTGAGTATGTCTTGATTAACAAATTAACTGTCAGATCTATGCTAAATAGAAAAGTGGGCTCAGAGGATAGAGTTGGTTGTGTTATCTTTTCATGTCACGATAAACCGGAATGTAGACAGGCCATCATTGACAATTGTAGAAAATATGTCAGCAATATATATATATATATATATATATATATATATAGGATTAATACAAATATAAATTTTATCACTTAGCTGATTGATGTTACCTTCAGCATCCCAACTCCAGAGTTTCATAGACAGACTCTCCAGCAATTGCTATAGATAGATGTAATTTTTTTCCACAGTTAGTAATGTTTTTCTATTACTATTTGTTTTTGTACAACTATCTTGAAGGCCATTTGTATTATTTTTACTTTCTGTTTTTACTTACCTAAAGTTACATTTATCAAATTTGTCTTTTCCTTCTCTCATTTATTTTTTATCAATTGATAGTTGAGGTGTTAGTACTGTCGAAAAGGTAGTATAGATTATTTCTAATGTTATGAATAATGACTTCCTAATCTCTAAATATTTGGGGCATATATTTTTATTTCTGCTACATTTCTCTACAGTTACCAAACTTTATTATCTTCGTTTATTTATGTATGACAATTTTGTAATTTTTTTAATGTCTTATGTTTTTATTTTTTTTTAAAATGTTCATTTCAGAGGAGTTTATAAAACACATAATGCATGTACTGTTCACATATGTACATTATATATGTTCCATATGTTCTTATAGCCAAGGGTAGTAATGGAGATAAGTTCCCCCCATCTATAAAATGCTACCATGGCATGCAACTCAAATACCCTCTAACAATTTAGTCCATCTCCATGTTGGAGATGGGAGGTGTAGCTTCGGCACCTCATAATCAGATGTGTCACATAGATGGAGCTCATCAGCATGGGATGACAGTCCATTTAGGGAAAGGAAAACCCTGATTTTACACATCCATTGCCTTGCAGCCATATAAAAACATGGAAAAGGCTAATATATATATATATATATATATATATATATATGGGAGAAAAGGGAATATACTTAATACTTCTCTTGCGTGGTCATGTGTGTCACGAACTGCGGTGCAATTTCGCATCCACGTCTCACATACGTATTTGTTGTTCCTTGGAAATCTGTCATGCAGCAGAAGCAGACTATCATTATTGTTTTGTCTGTGTACTGTTTAATATACTGAAATGTAATTGTCATCTTTGATAATGGCTTATGTAAGCCGAAAGCTTAGATAGAATTAAAAAACATGTATCAATATGGTGATTTTATTTCATCTTTCAATGCTAATGTTATAAAGCTTATCAGACAATATGAATGGAATTTACTGAAAATAGACAAAACATGTCTATATTACTTAATGAAACATGTATCAATGAATGTATATATATATATATTTCTAGGAAACTGTAAGTCAAAATAGCAACAGTTGAAAGGAAAGAGGAAAAGAGAGAGAAGGTTAAGGAGTGAGTGTAAAGTAAAAAAAGAAAATGATGAAAAGGACAAATAATAATGACATTCTATATGTATGCATACACATGCATAGGCTCACCTGCACATGCACGCATACACTATAGAAAGAAACTAAAAGAACTTACACCAATGAAAAATGCATATAAAAATTAAGAAGTATAAGCCATCAATTGCAGATACCCCCTGATGAATGGATGGAGTGATTCCTGGAGTGTCTGTCTATAGAGACAAGGGTTTTTATGTTCCAACCAAACACTTGTGCTGTAAAGGCTTTTTAACAAAAAAATAAAAACAGAGTTTGTTGAGTCAGTTAGAAAAGATTTTCATACAATATTAGACATAGTATCTCCTATGAAATGTGCTTCTGGTACCAAATATGAAACCACAAAAATACAATTAACAAGACAATGAAATTGCTACAATGAAAATGGTTGAGTCTGCAAAAAAGTACAAGATCAATAGCCCACAGCTTATCTTATAAGTAGAACTTCCCTACCAACAAAACACCAAGAATTCTATCAAAGAGATCTTAATACTGAACTAGATGAAATATTTAAAATAGCTGAAACAGAGATTAGAATAGATAGAAAAAGAGAGAATATTAAAAACACTCCTCAGGCTTGCAAACGAAAACTGGTAATTTTTTTTATTTCTTTTAAAAGCCTTTGCTTGGCTGCAACTCAAACCCTTGACAAGTAACTTGTGTATGTTAATAGCAATGCATGGACATGTATGTAATGTTTAGTGCCATCTCTGCCAGCCATCAAAGACTGGCCATTTCCACTGGGAGGTTGCTTACTTAACAGCCATAAAGCCTTTCTAAACATTGTCACCTGTTCTTGTCAAACACTATTTACTTCAAAGAACCCACAATTAAATCAGCTGTAATATTAGTCATTACTTTGGTTCTTCTCAGCTTGTCTCTTTTTCATTTCACTATTACACTTTGCCTTTTCTATATAGACTCTTTTTTCTTTTTGATTTCTTTCTCTAGCTCTACATCTTCTACCATCACCAGCTGACATCTTTCTACTCTCTCATTCACCCATATCTTCTGTTCTGTCTTTCACCCATATATCTTCTGCTCTGTCTTTCACCCATATATCTTCTGCTCTGTCTTTCACCCATATATCTTCTGCTCTGTCTTTCACCCATATCTTCTGCTCTGTCCATATTAACTTCTATGCCACTCACCTATAAATCTTCTATGCTTTCATTCACCCATATATATTCTACTCTCTCATATAGTCATATATCTTTGACTCTTTTATACACATATATCTTCTACTCTAGTCACTCATCCATATCTCTTTCTATCCTGTCGCTCATCCATATCTCTTTCTATCCTGTCGCTCATCCATATCTATATCTATCCTGTCACGCGTCTATATCTCTTTCTATCCTGTCATTTATCCATATCTCTTTCTATCCTGTCATTCATCCATATCTCTTTCTATCCTCATTCATCCATATCTCTTTCTATCCTGTTGCTCATCCACATCTCTTTCTATCCTGTCGTTCATCCACATCTCTTTCTATCCTGTCACTCATCCATATCTCATTCTATCCTGTCACTCATCCACATCTCTTTCTATCCTGTCGTTCATCCACATCTCTTTCTATCCTGTCACTCATCCATATCTCATTCTATCCTGTCATTCATCCATATCTCTTTCTATCCTGTCGCTCATCCACATCTCTTTCTATCCTGTCGCTCATCCACATCTCTTTCTATCCTGTCCTTCATCCATATCTCTTTCTATCCTGTTGCTCATCCATATCTCTTTCTATCCTGTTGCTCATCCATATCTCTTTCTATCCTGTTGCTCATCCATATCTCTTTCTCTCCTGTCATTCATCCATATTTCTTTCTCTCCTGTTATTCATCCATATTTCTTTCTATCCTCTCACTCATCCATATTTCTTACTATCCTGTCATTCATCCATATCTCTTTCTATCCTGTCATTCATCCATATCTCTTTCTATCCTGTTGCTCATCCACATCTCTTTCTATCCTGTCACTCATCCACATCTCTTTCTATCCTGTCACTCATCCATATTTCTTTCTATCCTGTCGCTCATCCATATATCACTTTCTATCCTGTCACTCATCCATATTTCTTTCTATCCTGTCACTCATCCATGTCTCTTTCATTCCTGTCATTCATCCATATCTCTTTCTATCCTGTTGCTCATCCATATCTCTTTCTCTCCTGTCATTCATCCATATTTCTTTCTATCTTGTCACTCATCCATATATCTTTCTATCCTGTCGCTCATCCATATATCACTTTCTATCCTGTCGCTCATCCATATCTCTTTCTATCCTGTCACTCATCCATATCTCTTTCTATCCTGTCACTCATCCATATCTCTTTCTATCCTGTCATTCATCCATATCTCTTTCTATCCTGTTGCTCATCCATATCTCTTTCTCTCCTGTCATTCATCCATATTTCTTTCTATCTTGTCACTCATCCATATTTCTTTCTATCCTGTCGCTCATCCATATCTCTTTCTATCCTGTCGCTCATCCACATCTCTTTCTATCCTGTCACTCATCCATATTTCTTTCTATCTTGTCACTCATCCATATTTCTTTCTATCCTGTCGCTCATCCATATCTCTTTCTATCCTGTCATTTATCCATATTTCTTTCTATCCTGTCACTCATCCATATCTCATTCTATCCTGTCATTCATCCATATCTCTTTCTATCCTGTTGCTCATCCATATCTCTTTCTATCCTGTTGCTCATCCATATCTCTTTTTCTCCTGTCATTCATCCATATTTCTTTCTTTCCTGTTATTCATCCATATTTCTTTCTATCCTCTCACTCATCCATATTTCTTACTATCCTGTCATTCATCCATATCTTCTTTCTATCCTGTCATTCATCCATATCTCTTTCTATCCTGTTGCTCATCCACATCTCTTTCATCCTGTCACCATCCATATTTTTTTTCTGTCTTGTCACTCATCCATATTTCTTTCTATCCTGTCACTCATCCATATATCTTTCTATCCTGTCACTCATCCATATTTCTTTCTATCCTGTCACTCATCCATGTCTCTTTCATTCCTGTCATTCATCCATATCTTTTCTATCCTGTTGCTCATCCATATCTCTTTTCTCTCCTGTCATTCATCCATATTTCTTTCTATCTTGTCACTCATCCATATTTCTTTCTATCCTGTCGCTCATCCATATATCACTTTCTATCCTGTCGCTCATCCATATCTCTTTCTATCCTGTCACTCATCCATATCTCTTTCTATCCTGTCACTCATCCATATCTCTTTCTATCCTGTCATTCATCCATATCTCTTTCTATCCTGTTGCTCATCCATATCTCTTTCTCTCCTGTCATTCATCCATATCTCTTTCTATCCTGTCACTCATCCATATTTCTTTCTATCCTGTCGCTCATCCACATCTCTTTCTATCCTGTCGCTCATCCACATCTCTTTCTATCCTGTCACTCATCCATATTTCTTTCTATCTTGTCACTCATCCATATTTCTTTCTATCCTGTCGCTCATCCATATATCTTTCTATCCTGTCACTCATCCATATTTCTTTCTATCCTGTCACTCATCCATATCTCTTTCTATCCTGTCACTTCATCCATATTTCTTTCTATCCTGTCAATCATCCATATCTCTTTCTATCCTGTTGCTCATCCATATCTCTTTCTCTCCTGTCATTCATCCATATTTCTTTCTATCCTGTCACTCATCCATATTTCTTTCTATCCTGTCGCTCATCCACATCTCTTTCTATCCTGTTGCTCATCCACATCTCTTTCTATCCTGTCACTCATCCATATTTCTTTCTATCCTGTCACTCATCCATATTTCTTTCTATCCTGTCGCTCATCCATATTTCTTTCTATCCTGTCACTCATCCATATCTCTTTCTATCCTGTCGCTCATCCATATCTCTTTCTATCCTGTCGCTCATCCATATCTCTTTCTCTCCTGTCATTCATCCATATTTCTTTCTATCCTGTCACTCATCCATATTTCTTTCTATCCTGTCGCTCATCCATATATCTCTTTCTATCCTGTCGCTCATCCATATATCTCTTTCTATCCTGTCACTCATCCATATTTCTTTCTATCCTGTCACTTATCCATATCTCTTTCTATCCTGTCATTCATCCATATTTCTTTCTATCCTGTCGCTCATCCACATCTCTTTCTATCCTGTCACTCATCCACATCTCTTTCTATCCTGTCGCTCATCCACATCTCTTTCTATCCTGTCACTCATCCAAATATCTCTTTCTATCCTGTCACTCATCCAAATATCTCTTTCTATCCTGTCGCTCATCCATATCTCTTTCTATCCTGTCGCTCATCCATATCTCTTTCTATTCTGTCACTCATCCACATCTCTTTCTATCCTGTCACTCATCCATATTTCTTTCTATCCTGTCGCTCATCCATATTTCTTTCTATCCTCTCGCTCACCCATATTTCTTTCTATCCTGTCGCTCATCCACATCTCTTTCTATCCTGTCGCTCATCCACATCTCTTTCTATCCTGTCATTCATCCACATCTCTTTCTATCCTGTCGCTCATCCATATATCTCTTTCTATCCTGTCACTCATCCACATCTCTTTCTATCCTGTCACTCATCCACATCTCTTTCTATCCTGTCATTCATCCATATTTCTTTCTATCCTGTCACTCATCCATGTTTCTTTCTATCCTGTCGCTCATGCACATCTCTTTCTATCCTGTCGCTCATCCACATCTCTTTCTATCCTGTCACTCATCCATATTTCTTTCTATCCTGTCGCTCATCCATATATCTCTTTCTATCCTGTCACTCATCCACATCTCTTTCTATACTGTCACTCATCCATATCTCTTTCTATCCTGTCGCTCACCCATATTTCTTTCTATCCTGTCATTCATCCATATTTCTTTCTATCCTGTCATTCATCCATATCTCTTTCTCTCCTGTTATTCATCCATATTTCTTTCTATCCTGTCGCTCATCCATATTTCTTTCTATCCTGTCGCTCATCCACATCTCTTTCTATCCTGTTACTCATCCATATCTCTTTCTATCCTGTCACTCATCCATATTTCTTTCTATCCTGTCACTCATCCATATCTCTTTCTCTCCTGTCATTCATCCATATTTCTTTCTATCCTGTCACTCATCCATATTTCTTTCTATCCTGTCACTCATCCATATTTCTTTCTATCCTGTCACTCATCCATATCTCTTTCTATCCTGTCGCTCATCCACATCTCTTTCTATCCTGTCGCTCATCCACATCTCTTTCTATCCTGTCGCTCATCCACATCTCTTTCTATCCTGTCGCTCATCCACATCTCTTTCTATCCTGTCGCTCATCCACATCTCTTTCTATCCTGTCGCCATCCACATCTCTTTCTATCCTGTCGCTCATCCACATCTCTTTCTATCCTGTCGCTCATCCACATCTCTTTCTATCCTGTCGCTCACTCATGCATCTTTCTATCCTGTCACTCACTCATGCATCTTTCAACTCTGTCATTCAGCCATCTTCTTTTCTTGCACTGACATACATAACTTCTATGCCTACTTACTTATAAATCTTTCAATTCTCTTTCACTCTTTCATCTTTCTCCTCTATCTCGCACCATTAAATCTTCCTACTCTCTCTCCAGCACACTTACATCTTCCTACTCTGTCTCTCACACCCTTGCATCTTTCTCCTCTCTCTCTCACACCCTTGCATCTTTCTCCTCTCTCTCTCACACCCTTGCATCTTTCTCCTCTCTCTCTCTCTCACACCCTTGCATCTTTCTCCTCTCTCTCTCACACCCTTGCATCTTTCTCCTCTCTCTCTCACACCCTTGCATCTTTCTCCTCTCTCACACCTTTGCATCTTTCTCTCTCTCTCTCTCTCTCACACTTTGCATCTTTCTCCTCTCTCACACCCTTGCATCTTTCTCCTCTCTCACACCTTTGCATCTTTCTCCTCTCTCACACCTTTGCATCTTTCTCCTCTCTCACACCTTTGCATCTTTCTCCTCTCTCACACCTTTGCATCTTTCTACCCTCTCACACCTTTGCATCTTTCTACCCTCTCACACCTTTGCATCTTTCTACCCTCTCACACCTTTGCATCTTTCTACCCTCTCACACCTTTGCATCTTTCTCCTCTCTCTCTCACATGCTTGCATCTTTCTCCTCTCTCTCTCTCACATGCTTGCCTCTTTCTCCTCCCTCTCTCACACCCTTGCCTCTTTCTCCTCCCTTCTCTCTCACGCTTTGCCTTTTCTTCCTCCTCTCTCACCCCCTTTACTCTTTCTCCTCTCTCACACCTCTTCCCTCTTCTCTCCCTCTCTTCCCCTTGCATCTTTCTTAGCTCTTCCTCCTTGCTGTTTTTCTTCTTTCTCTCTTCCCTCTTTTTCTCTTTCCCTCTTCTTTCCTTCCCTCTTCTTCTTCTTACTCTCTTCCCCTTGCCTCATTCTTCTTCCTCTCTTCCTCTCGCCTTTTTCTTCTTTCTTCCTTCACCTCTTTTTTCTTACTCTCTTTTCCTTGCCCTTCTCTTCTTACTCTCTTCCCCTCACCTCTTTCTTCTTACTCTCTTCTCTTTACCACTTTTATTATCTACATTTTGTCACACTCTCTGTCTTTTCTCTTCTCTTACTTGCTTTAGTTCACTGCTTTCAGTCTTTGATCTTTCTCTCTACCTTTGATCAGCTGTTCCCTCTCTCTTGTTTCTTCTATTCATTACAAACTAAATCTTTTTCTGACTTCATCTTTCTCTCTATATATTTCCCTTTTAGTTCCTCCATTACCAATATCTATTCTAGTGACAATTCTCATGTTGTCACCTTCTCTTTGGCAGGATTCTTCCTATTTTACTGGTTTCCATCATTAAAGCCATGGTTCCGTGCAAAATTCAATCTTCTCTCACTTAACCATACATGTATCTTGTAGCCTACAATTTGTGCAAATGGCTTTTGTTCTGTTTTGCAACATGGCCATCAAAAATAATGTACAAAAATAACCGTTTTCTTTGAAATAGGAAATTTGATTTGTTGTTCAACACAATCTATATATTTTTTTCCCAATTTTGTGAAAATATCTTTTGAAATTCTATTTGAACTTTATTTATTCATTATTTATAAGAAAAATATACAGCTTCATTTGTTAATTTAAAATATATAATCACTTATATAGATATATTGTAGATATAATTATAGAGCACTATGTCTTGCCCTTGCTTGTTTCCACATCACTGAGAGAATTTTTATTGTCAAACTTTTTCTTACTAACCAAAAACCATTAAAAATGGTAGTGAAAGGTTAAAAGGGAAATAGTAAAATAACATAAGACATAATTCTATAGGAAAAAGATTCACTTATTTCTAAACGTTTTACAGAAATATAATGAGTCAAAACATACTTTTCTTATGAATTATCAACTTATCTACTTTCATGTGTCCTGTCCCTGTTGGAATTCATGGCTCTCTACAATTTCTTGTCCTTTGTAGCTCTTAATAAGTTTTTTTTCTTTTTGGTATTACTCCTAAACTCATCTATTTACACAAGCTCACTAAGTAGAATATGCAATGTTTTCCTCTGTCCCTCTTGCCTTCTACCTGTCCTGTGAGTATCAAATTCTCCAAGTTCTCTTTCCTCATTATGTTCCCTAGAAATTTCAACTGCCTCTTTCTGATGTTAAGTGTCCTTTTTGTGTCCATTTTCTTTAAAACATGGCTGTTGCTCACATTTTTAGCCCTTGGTATTCTCAGCATCTTTCTGTAGAACCTAATTTCTGTTGCTTCAAATCTCTCCTTCATCTATGAGGAGATTGTCCAGTATTCACTACCATATAGGAAGACTGATATTGCATAACAGTTCAGTTCTCTTTTTTTTGTTTCTAATGAAATTTTCTTGCTCACTTTCCATCCTCTGTTAAAGCACTGCCTAGATATTAAAAATTGTGTACCTGCTTGGTTTTGGTATCTCCAATTTGTACCTTGGGCTGTTCCTTTTGCTGATAGCCATATATTCTATCTTCTTACATTTGATGTTTAGTCCTTTTTTTTGCTTTAATTTATTATCTTCTATAGGAATTCCTGTAATTCCCTTTACAAGTCAGCTATCAATACTGTTCCATTTGCATATCTAATGTTAAGATTGTGGCCACCAATAATGAATTCTGAAAGTACTTAAATTCTCTCAGGATTTCTCCACTGTAAGGTTTGAATAGGTCAGGTGAGAAGACACATCTTGTCTTAGGCCCCTTTCTATTTGTATATTTACTGAATTCATTTTCTATCTATGCAAGTGGTGTATCCCCAATATAAGTTTCTTAAATTGTTATAATAAATAATATAATCCAAATAATCTTTAGTCTTTATTATTTATTATAATTCAAGGAAGCTTACAATACATTTTAAGCAACTCACTTCTTCTTGGATGTCTTTAAAAATATTATCTAATGTTCACTACTGAAAAAAATATAAATACATTTTCTCACTTTATGTGGTCTGCTTTTCTTTGTATGACAAAATACAAGTCCCTTTTATTATATTCAGTGTTTATAATTTCATAGTAGTTTAGTTTGCTTTCTTGATGGAATAAAAAATGAGACTGCTAATATAATTATTTTCTTTCTAAAGTAGGTTTCTTGGGTGGATATACTTGTGATGATGTGAAGAAGGAACCAATAATTTTGGTCCATGTGAGAAGGTAGTGGAAAGATGGAATTAAATATATTGTATGATAAGTACCCTGAATAAAGATAAATTGAATGGAGAGAGAGAGAAAAGGAAAAAAGAAAAATGAAAAGTAAATATTCAGAAGGTAGTAATAGAAAAAGAAAATAAAAAGAAATAATGTAAAGAAAAGAAAGAAGTACTGGAAAAAGTGAATAAAAATGAGTTTGTCTACCAATGAGAGGAGGAGTTTGTAGAAAGCAAGAGAAAAAGTACATGAATACAAGAAAAAGGAAAGGGTTTATAAAAAAAGGAAAAGGGAAGGAAGAAATAATTCAGGAAAAATAAACATAAAGAAATACAAAAATAAGAGAAAAAAAGAATCCAAGGGAAAAATTTATGAGAATGAAAATTAAAGAGAGACTAAAAGGAGTTAGATAAGAAAAAGAAATGATGAAAGAAAATATACGGAAGGAAGAAGTGGAAAAAAAACAAAAAATAGAGTAAAGGAAAATAAAAAAAAAAAAGAATGAAGAAATAAAGAAAAAGGAAGAAAAAATGAGAACAGATAAAAAGAAAATCAAAAACAGAAAAATAAAAATAATAAAAAAAACAAAAAGGAGAAAAAAGGAAAATGAAGAAAAAGGAAAAAGCAAGCAAAGGAGAAGCAAATCAGTAAATTATATATATATATAAAAAAAATGTAGAAATAAAAAAAAAGCAAAGGAAGAAAGGAAAGGGAAAAGGAAAGAAAGGTGGAAATAAAAAAAAATGATAAAAATGAATATTACAGTTACTTTAAAAAAGGAGTAGATAGCATAAATGCCTGAACTTGCCGAACAATAAAAAACTTATTTAGAAGAAATATTACATTGGTGTCTCAAAGGCCAAAGATTCTTCCTCTAATACTAGCAGTAGTTTCCATTCTTGAGCCAAATATTTTGCATTAATGTTTTATCAAGGCCAACACAAATACAGAGTCTTGTATTCAGAGATGACATGACAAGAGGTTTTCTTGTTGAAGTTGGTGAATGCTGCCATAATACTTACATTCAGTTCATCTTTGGCATTACAAAGAGTTTTTTTTGGTCTCTTGCTTAACTGCAACCCACACATAATAATCAAGGGGGAGTGAGGTGGCCAGATGTAAGGGGTGAGATGGTCACAGAAATTGTCTGACAGCTATGAGTGGGTTATCCTGCTTGTGTGATGTGGTGCAGTGTCCTATTGCCAGACATAGGGTCTTCCAACAGCCACCCTCTTAATCCAGGGTAGCACTACCTCCTCAGTGTACTTGATGTATGCCTCTGTGTTGAGTCTGAGGCCCCTTGGAGGCATAGTGATCACTACAAACACCTTCATAATCACCATTAGACTCATCCAAATCTTCTGTGCTGGTCTCAGATTGACACCTAAACACTCTGCAATGTTTGTATTGGAGCTGTATTGTACCAAGCAGTACAGTGTGCCGTTTCCAAATTTCTGGCGGAATGAATTGTGACATGGCGCCTTTTTTCTCACAAATGGTGCCCAACTGACCCTACTATACTGTGCAGTCAACAAAATCAACAACAACATGCATGCACAAAATTAAAAATATACAATGGGGATAATTCACCCATCACAACTTGTATATATAATGATAAAATATATAATTTTAGGCTATACGATATTTATGGATAAAAGGGTTTAATATTTTGGATAGAACTTGTATGCCAAATGAGATACTCTTGATTTTGTAAAGTTCACCTGATAACCTCATCTCCAATCAGGCTCAGTTCAACATTGTTAAACCATAAATTTGACAAAGTGTCAGCATTCAGGCTGTATGAACTGCAATGGAAATATGAAAAGGTGAGGTGTTTAGAAAAAACATTACTAAGTAAATATGGTTATTATAAAATATTTGCCCCAAATCTTTATTATATATAAGAGTGGACACAGAGATCAGCACTGAATAGTGAGAGTCTGTTACATGTTTGAATGCAATCTTCAGGTCTGAAGATTGTGTTCAAACATAAGCCAGACTGTTACCATTCAGTATTGACCCCAGTGTCCACTCATATATATAATAAAAATATTGGGCAAATATTTTTTTTTATAAAGTTATAATAAACAAATTTACTTAGTAATGTTTCCCTAAACAACTCACTTTTTCATATTTCCAGTGCAGTTCATACAGCCTGAGTGCTGACACTTTGTCAAATTTATGATTTAACGATGTTGAACTGAGCCTGATTGGAGATGAGGTTATCAGGTGGACTGTACAAAGTCAAGAGGATCTCATTTGGCATACATGCTGAGCTTCAAGTATGCAACAATTCAATATTAATGACAAATTAGCTTCAAATGTTTTGCTCATTAAAAGCCTATGTAGAATGGTTAAATTAAGTTCATATTCAAAGAAGAGCTTCCATAAAAAAAAAAAAAAATCTTTTTACTGATTTATCTTAAACCTCTCCATGTCACTCAGATTTGGTTTAATAGCATATCCTCCTCTACAACTACTTTATATTCTTTAAAAACTACTTAAGTTCTATGTTCCATATCAGTTAAAATCAATCAGGTGTGGAAATTTAACTGTTGGGGTAGCATAGTACAGGATTACAACCCCTGGCTTAGAATTGGTATTAGACATATTGGATTACTGCTTACCCCACTTGTGTCAATGGGATTATGTAAAGATTCCACAGACAGCTGCTTACTGCCACATTACATTGAAACACATCCCATACAAGCACCATAGTTAAGTAACATCAAGTCAGGTCAGTATCTGGATGGGTGACCTTTCAAGAATACCAGGTACTGTAAGCTTGGATGAGCCGGTGGTGTAATGGATAATGGCTCAGAATTGCTAATCAGAGAGCCAAGTTCTAATTCCTGTTGGATTCATTATATTCACTTATGTACAAATGCCCTTCTCCTCCCATCTATGGGTTAATTAGATGTGTATCACTAAAACCATTATTCATGCCACCCAAAAAAACATAATTCTTAAAATCTAAAAATATTTTCTGGCTTTAAATAACCTGAAAGAGGTTAATCAATCATAAATCCACATATAGTTAAATCCTTCATTCACATCAAAGGTTGACCATTAGAATTGGGTAAATAACCTAATTATTGATCTTTTGTTGATTCTGAACACTTTAAAACAAGATCTACACTCGATGACACTGTTTTTAGAATCTCACCAACATTATTTGGTCAGTACTTTGAGGTCGACAAATTATCGCCACTATCTACAGACTTTGTAAACAAATTAAAAGACGAA